TATATTTATTTATTTATTTATTGGTACTGGGGATCAAACTCAGGACCTTGTGCTTGCAAAGCAGGCGCCAGAACCACTGAGCTAAATCCCTGGCTAAACATTTTTAATATTAATGCTAAGTACAAAGATAATTGCCCCACAATCCTCCACCCCAATGATCAAGCTGTTTTTTTCCTCTTTATTTTTATTTTTTGTTGTTGTTTTGTGTGGGTTTTTTTAATTGTCTATTTGTTTGTTTTGGTACTGGGGATCGAACTTGGGTCCTTCCACTTTCCAGGCAGGTGGCGGCACTGCTGAGCTAATCCCTGGCCCTCCTCCTACTTTTAAACTTCTTGTAAGCACACTTAACCCTTACACAGTTAAAACCATAGAATACATTTAAACTAATATAATACGGAAAGATTTTTTAAAAATTCTTTCATAAAAACTTTTATAGCCTCAGAATCCTTGTTGTGCCAATATCTGCATACTGAAGTCCACTTCTCTAAAAAGGACTCTTTTTGTCTTAAAGACAACCACAGCCAGAGTGCAGCTCAGTGGTAGAGCACTTACCTAGCACCCCAGTACCCAAACAAACAAGAAAGAACCACAATGTCATCATGACATCTAAGCAATAATTCTTTAATGTGACCAAATAGCCCATCACTGTTCCTATGTCTCTTGCCTCTATTTCAAACTGTTTATTGCCTGAATCAGAATGTAAGTGATGTCCAAACAAGTTGATGTCTCTCATGTACTATTTTTCCCCCTCCAGTGTTGAGGATGGAACCCAGGGTCACACACATACATGCTAGGTGAGCATCCTACCACTGAGCTGTACCCTGGCCCTCTGAAGTCACTTTTCAGCCTCTCTCTCTGTCTCTCTCTGTCTCTCTCGTCTCTGTCTCTGTCTCTTTCTCCCACTGCAGTGTTCTGTTGAAGAAACTCGACTGTGCTCATTCAAGTCACCAAGCTTGCAATTCACCTCTGCTCTCTCAATTCTACAACCCGCTGCTAAGGTCCTCAGTGCCACCCTAACTGCTGAGTTCCAGCGTCAGTCCTCTGAGTGCTGGCCCACTCCAGATTCTGGAGGTCCTCTGGGTCACTCCATGCATACTAGGACTGAGCTCCCTCTCTCCGGGACTTAGTCTTCGAGAAGCCTGCCGACACAGAGAGGCCCTGGGAGAGAGGGAATGAGTCTGTGTGCACTGACAGCCCCGGGGTCCTGTCGCTGTGAGCCCAGGGTGGGATTCTCAGGCTTCAGATGCCAGCTGACTGCCCACTACAGCCTCAGGAGTGACCCTGAGCCAGAAGCACCTAGCCAAGCACTCCTGGACTGGTGGCCCTCAGAAAAAGTGTCCGCTAATGAATTTGTGTTTTAATTTGCTAAGTTTTGGGATTACTTGTTATGCAGCGATCGATAAGTAATGCAGGCACCTCTCCCTGGGTTCCTCTACCTCTCTGACTCTTTCTACTTGGCCTAACTTGCTGGGTCTTCTCTCCTATCCTCCCGTCAGAGTCCAGGGACCTGGCCTCCCAGGTCATCTTTCCCACTGCTGCACTTAGATGCTAGGTTGGCAGTTTTGGAGGTGAGGAAAGCAGGAAGAAGCCATCCAAACTCGAAGAAGTCTGCGCTGTGGAGGCCCTGCATGCCCCTCCCTGGCACGGCATCTTCCCTCTGGGGGCCATCCATTCCCCAAGCCACCTAAAGCATCTGTGCCGAATCCATTTCTGGATTCCTGGCACTGAGCATCGTCCCTGGCTCGAAGAAAGCTCTTGGCAAATACTTGCTGAATAAACAAATGAGCAAAAAACTGTCTGATGGAGCAGGTCGGCCACCAAGCTCAGCACAGACTGAGATCTCTTTATCACCACCTGGAAGAGCCCTGCCTGTAAAGTCGAACTTGGATGTAGAGGTGATACTGGACACGAAGCCTGAGCCCTAGGGGTGCCCTTGTTCCTACCCGCCCTGGAAAGCACCCCCATGGGCCTCATCCTTTGCTTCCTGTACCAGTCTTCACAAGCCCAGAGTATTTACAAACTAGCTTCTGCTCTGGAAAAATCATAAGCCCTTAGACAACATAAAATAAAAGAGGGGCTGGGGATTGAGCTCAGTGGTTCCACCGCCTGCTTCGCAAGCGCAAGGTCCTGAGTTTGCTCCCCAGTACCAAAATAAATACATAAATAAATAAATAATAAAAATAAAACAAAATAAAAGATACCAATGTGTTTTCCTGATACTCATAGCCAGTGACCCTGTTTGTGAACTCTAGTCAAGCAAGACTTTTTCTGAAATGGTATATTATTTTAAAATATAATAAATAAATCTGCATTAAATTCTGACATTTCTACTGAAATATAACCTGAGTACTAAAGGTGACCTTTGCAGGCATTTTTTGATACGACTGGGTAAAGCCTGTCCAGCTGACAGGAGTTGTCCCCTCCCCTAGGTCCTTACCTTTAAAGTGTAAATAGAGCACATCATTCAGGGCTGGGGTAAGGTAAAGCTTGTGCTGCTTGCAGAGCTTTTGTAGGAACTGTTTAGTCATTCTGTCAAAATAAAAAACATGGATAAGACATTTATAAAGTATATCCCGAGGTTCATCATTATACTCACATATGTCTAAAATTCTATATCCCGATACATATATGTCTGACACTTATTTTAAATACTTCCTCCTCCTCTCTTCTCTTTCCCTCCATCTCCCATCTCTCCTTCAACTTCTTTCCTTTCTCTTACTCCTCTTCTTTCTCCTCCTCCTTCTTTTTAGGATAGCTGTTAGGACCTCATACAATATTACTTTCGATATTCTTAAAAATTGCATTTTATGTCCTAATAAAATACTTTTAATAATATCATTGAGAATTATAGATGTTTCTTTCTCCAGGTCTAGCATTAAAGTTTAACAGCACATGGTTAGTTATGCTACAGAAGCAGCACCAGCCAGCCAGACTCCTATTTAACAATTCTCAGACAATGAGTGGCTATTCAGCCTGCATGAGCCCCTGTCTTGCCTCTACAAGGGAGTGATTACCCTACACACATTACCTGATGTTGGCAGCAAGTCCACATACCTGGGGCCCTGATCTTCCCTGTCACCTCTTGGTTGTGCTAAGTGACTGATTGATTCACTATCACCACTCTGTTTCTGCTGGCTTGGGCAGAGTGTGTCAGAAGGACCCACACATATTTCCTTAGGATCATTAATTTCTGTAAAATAAGACATCTGGTTTATAGAGATCGAGAAATGCACAAAAACAAATCCCCCAATTTCAACTTGGTTGACAACTGCGTACTTCTAGTATGGAACACCAGAAATCTTTAAATGGGTCACAGTTTTTAAAACACTGACAAAAACTATGTAAATTTCACTTCTTGGTTGATCATCTACAATAACTGTAAAAATGTACATGGAAATGCATGGAAAGATAATTTGTTTTCCCATTATTTGTAACAGCCCAAAACTCTTACTAAACCAAATGCCTATCCAGAGAGACTTATATAAAACAATGAATTACTCTTCTACCTTTGGAAAAAATGCACTAACGGCCACATCAATCAATAGGATTATTCTCAGAAATATACATGGAGTGCAAAAAACATGTTTTCATAAAAGGATCCCATTGATATAAATTAAAAACATTCAAGCCAAGGTTATGTATTGTTTAAAGATACATATATGGAAAAGTGACTGAAGACTCCTTATGAAATTTTGGACAAGGAAGAAAGAGAATGGGAATGGAGGGAGAGAAATATCAACTTTATATGAAATATTTTATTTCCTTAACTAAAAGACTTCATGGAAATATGACAAAATGTTAACTGTTTCCAGTTCTTGGTGACAATACATGGGTACCGTATTTGTTATAATGTTCTCTGTCCTTTTGTCTTTGAAAAAACTTTCTCAGCCAGGCATGGTGGGGTGTGCCTGTAATTCTAGCACTCTGGGAGGCTGAGGCAGGAGGATTGCAAGTTTGAGCCCAGCTTGGGCAACTCAGCAATTTAGCAACGTCCTATTTCAAAATTTAAAAAAATCAAAAAAAGGGATGGGGATGTAACTGAGTGGAAGGCCCTGGATTCAATCCCCAGCATTGCTCACACACACATATGTGCGTGCACACACCAGGCATCGTGGTGCATGCTTGTAATCCCAGTATCCAGGAAGCTGAGGCAGGAGGATCACCATCATTGGGAGGCCAGTCTGGGCTACATAGTGAGTTCAAGGCTAGCCTAAACGATATACCAAGATCCTGTCTCAAAAAACAAAAACAACAACCAAAAGAAAAAGAAAAAAAGAGAGAGAAAAGGAAAGAAAGAAGAAAATCTTAAAACAAATGCATGAAAAGAAGCAAAGATCATGAAATGCTGGGAGTACCTTTGGTATGAGTAAAATGAGCACGTTCAAGTACACTTAAGTTTTTTAAAAAGATCAATCAAAATTGGCCAATTCACTTGCACATAATTTCAAAGCTATTGGCAGCTACTGGCTTCTGTGTGCATTTGGTCTACTGAATGAGACCAAGCACTCTGTGTGTGGGGACAGCGTCTGATGTCCTTTGCCTTCTCATTGCACACACTGCCCAGCCACAAGAGGAACTAGATAAATATTTGTGGAATAAATAATGTGTACTCAATATACAATTGATTGATTACATTAATAAGAAGGGCTGTCATTTTTTTTTTTTTTGGTACCAGGGGATCGAACTTGGGACCTTGCACTTTTGAGGCAGGTGTCAGAACCACTGAGCTAAATCCCTGGCCCCAAGAAGGGCTGTCATTTATTAGTGGCCTAGTACATGCCAGAAACTTTCTTTGTAATTATCTTTATATACTGCTGTATAATTATCCCTGCTTACAGATGAGGAGACTGAGGCTCAGAGATGTTAAGCTCTAAGCCAATGGCCATAAAGCTGGGGAGCTAGACAGTTACAATCTGAACCCAGCATGAGTGATTCTGAAGGCTATGACTTTCCACTGAGTAATATCAATTCCTTAGACCTCCTCATACAGTTTGCTCACCAGAGTTTGGGCAACAGCTGCTCAAGATGTATTTGTTGGGCTGGGGATTTAGCTCAGTGGTTCCTCCGCCTGCCTCGCAAGCACAAGGTCCCAAGTTCGACCCCAGGTGCCAAAAAAAAAAAAAAAAGACACTGCTCAAGATGTATTTGTTGACTGGGTTCAAACACAAATCCAGTCACTCACTAAAAGGTTCCCCGTAAGCACAAGCGGGAGCAAAGGCTGAAGCCTATCTTTAAGCCCTTTCTCAGAAACTTTGGTGAGGAATCACACACTGGTCCCAGAACTAACTCTTTAGTCTTTCTACATCTGTCAAGCCCTGGACTAGACACTTTGAATTCTAAACTATCACAATAGCCTGCCCTGAGGTCTATGTGCTCGCAGTCTACAGGGGGAGAAAACCTTTGCTTTCAGACAGCGATAGCAATAAAGATATACATTCAAAATAAAATTTGAGTGAGAGGAAAATGTGTGTTGGGCCAGGGCTTGGGCTCAGGAGTCTGACTGCCCAAATCTGAATGTCTGTTGTATAACTGACTAGCTGAAGGCAATAGGTTGGGAACAAGTTGAAGCACCTCTTAAGTCTTGGCTTCTTATCTGTATGAAATGGGGAGAGAATGAAGCAAATGCTAGGCACATCTCCTTTAAAACTTGTTAGTTGCTATTACGGCTACTATTGCTATTGCTATCACGGCTACTACTGGCTGTGAAGACTGGGCTAGGCCCATCGCCTCCCTCTGTCTCCCCGGGCGGGGTCGGCACCTTCCTTGCTGGCCCTTTGGTCCACATCGCCGTGGTCACCCGCGCATTCCTCTACATCGGGCTCCTGCTCGCAGTCCAGCTCCACTACCTCCTCGGCCGCGGGCTCCGAGGCCCCGGGGTGCATGCCTATTCCTGTAACACCGAACACCTTGGAGTAGTCGCTCTCCAGCCCCACCGGGGAAGCCCGGCTTTTCTTCCTCAGAGACACCAGCTAGGTAGGGCTTTGCAGTCAGCTCAACGCCTCCCTGGTCGTCACGGTAACCGTTGCGCGTGCGCACTCCAGGTAGGTCGTGCAACAGGGAGCCGAGGGAGGGCTCCGCCCCCAACGCGTGCGCGGGTCACGTGAGTCGAGGCCGTTACTGCTGCGGCGGCGGCGGCGACGGAGACAGGGTCGGCGGTTGCGCGGGTCTGGTTGGACGGGTTCTGGAGACTGCGCCGTTGCAGGTACCGCGCCCTGTGCCCAGCCCGCCCAACACCCGGCCAGGGTGCCCCCCTCAGCCCCAGCCCGGGGCCCATCTCGTCCCCTCCCTTTGCGCCCAAGCCACGCCCCCCGGGACCACGGCCCCGCGCACTCCAGAGCCCGGGACTCTTGGTTCCGCCCGCCCCTGGCCCCCCCCCGGACCGAGCATCCTCCTCCAGTCCCTACAGCGCGCTGCGCCCCGGGCCTCGCCCGCAGACCCTCGCCCTGCTCCTCCCAGAGGCGCCAGAACCGCCCTCTTTGTGCCTCTTTATTCTCCTTTTCAGCGCCGGGGTTTGGTAAGGTTCTGTGACCGCCCTGTTTTTCTGAAATAGAATGAATTCAGCATAGTGGTGCTTTTAAAGAAGGGGCGCACGGCTCCTTGTGAGCGGGCCGGGTCCGCCCGGGTGCTGGCGGGGAGGGGTGGGGATGAACCCGGCAGTCCTTGTTCCGGAGACTGCCTCGCCGCGCCACACCCCGAACTCTGCAGCCTGGGGCGCTGACGGCAGGTGTGTGCCAGTGACTGAGCGTCACAGCCAGACCAGGGTCGCACGTGGGGTCCACAGCCAGGGCTCCAGACTGGGGTCGATCTTGGTCTGGATTCTGGTCCGCCACTTAGCCACGGGGCCTCAGTTTCCCCATCTGTAAACGGGGGGAGGGGGGATGATTATAGCTCTGTCTTATAAATTTGAAGAAGGAATAAAGTGAGACGGTACAAATAAAGCATTTTGAAGCTTTTGTATAAAGTTAGCTCTCTATAGATTATCTGCTAACATCAAACACTGAATAATAGTGCCTAATAACTAAGCTTTACGGAGCACTTACTAAGGTCACTCACTGTTCTAAGTGCTTTGTATGCATTACCTCATTTAATTCTCATCATACTCTTAGGTGGGAACTGTTATCCCATTTTTACAGGTGACTGAGGAAAGTACCTTGGTTAGGTGGCTTCACTCACCAGCCACAGCTCTTAAGTGGGGCCTGGATTCGAACCCAGGCATTGTTCAGTCTGATTTTAATCACTGCAGCGATACGCTAGGGGCACAGTTCAATAAATTGATGGCACTTTCTTTAGGAGGTAAATTTTTATTAAGATAAAATTCATGTAAAGTTTTCCATTTTAGCCATTTAAAAGTATATAGCTAGTAGTTTTTAGTATAGTTGCAATGCTGTGCAGCCATCACCAGTAATTAATTCCAGAACATTTCCATCAGTCCCCTCCCCCAGAAAACCTCCGAAGTCCTTCATTAGCAGTCCTTCCCCTCCCCCACCTCTTCCTCTAGTAACCCTAATCTGCTTTCTGTCTCTATGGGTTTGCCTATTGTGGACATTTCATACAGGTGGAATCATATAGTATGTGGCCTTTTGCATCTAGCTTCTGTCCCTTAGCATCATGTTTTCAAGGTCCATCCACGTTGTAGAAGGTATCAGTACTTCATTTTTTGTTGTTGTTTGTTGATACTGGGGATTGAACTCAGGACCTTGCACTTGGGAGGTAGGCCCAGTACTTCATTATTTTTTATGACTGAATATTATTCCATTATATATATATATATATGGGCCATGCTTTGTTTGTTCATTCATCTGTTGATGGCCATTTTGGTTGTTTTACTTTGGTGAATAAGGCTGCTCTGAACATAGCTATACAAGTTTTAATGTGAGTAGCAATTTTCAGTTATCTTGGCTATATGTCTCGGAATGGGGTCACTGACATGAAATTCAGGTATTGGGTCTTGGATAAGAATCCTAGTTTTGGGCCGGGGATTTAGCTTAGTGGTTTCGCCGCCTGCTGCACAAGCGCAAGGACCCGGGTTCGATCCCTGGTACCAAAAAAAAAAAAAAACGGAAATACCTCTAATCATATCCTTTTCCATTGATGTTTCTGAAAAGCGACGATATACTTAAGTCCAGTAGCTGGAGTCTAGGATAAATTAAAAAGTAATTGAGTCATTTGGCTGCAAAAGAAGTTTAACTTGTTTCTACCTACAATTGATTTTTTTTTTTTTTT